CGGGATGGGGTCGTCTGGAACAAGGTGAGCCTTTTTTCCCTCGTGCACACATGCTGCTGCTTGGTCTTCTCCCCATGCTCAATTTATTTTCTTGCTGTCTCCCTGCCTTCACACTTCTCTCTGTTCTCACTGCTGTTAAGGAGGTGCATTTTGAGGCGCCTCAAAATGTTCTCACTGCTGTCCCTTCATCCCCTCCCTCCCTCCTCCCTCTCTCCTCCCTCCCAGAGCATTGAAGGCTGTAGCAGCATAACAGCGTAGCAGCACGGGGGCAGCAGGAGGGCAGCTGCGGGGCAGCAGGTCGCTCACACGGGAGTGGCACTGGCGTGGGACATGGAGTGCACAGGCAGCAGCTGCTCTCCACCCAACCCTCCCACAGCTAAGTACCCAGCCTTTCCTCTAACCTCGCAGCTTTCGCTCGCAGTGTTGCTTTTCATGTGCTACCGTCTGTAACACACAAGAGACCTGAGCCTCCCTCTAAACCTGAGCCTCTGGTCGTGCCTCATTTTCAAGCCACAGACCCCTTTTTTTTGGTAAACCACCCCAGGTACAGAAGGTATTCTCTCAGGTTAAGCCTCCCTTGGTATATAGCCCCTTTGGGTCTGTGGCTTGTAGCTGAGGCTGCACCAGTGGCCCCCCTTTCCTGCTGTCAATTTTCGCCCCACCCCACCCCAACCATGTACTCCCTTCACGTTGTTACCCCTAGCCGCTTACTCACTAGTCTTCAATTCTCTCCTTGCAGGTGGAGGGGAGGGGCGTGGGGGTCAACTCCGCCAATCCCTCACGTCTCTCCCCTGTGGCCGTGCAGGTGACTGTGGTGGGAGGGGAGGGGGGCAGCACTCCACTCGGCTGGGATGGGATGGGAGAGTATTGGGATGGGTTGTCTGAACCAAGGTGAGCCATTATTCCCCTCCCTGCTACAGATGCCTCATTTCCCTCTCTTCAATTCTGCATTCTCGTTTTCGTTCTTCGGTTCCCTCATATTGTCCACTCTTGTGTTCTTCGGTTAACTTGAGTGTTTCCTGATGCCAACTTACTTGCTCCTCCTGCCCCTCCTCTCCCGTCCCTCCCCCCCACTTTCTGCCCAGTACCAGGTCACTTGGCTACAAGAGAAGGTTGCAGAAGAGGAAGCAGAGTAGCAGATTGGCAGCAGCAGTTGCAGCAGCAGAAGCAGCGGCGGTAGCAGCGGTGGTGGTGGGGGGTTAGGGGGAAGGCTAGGCTAGCTGTAGCTGTGGGGAGGTGTGGTATCAGGTATGGTACGGTAACAGGTGAGGTAAGGTATCAGGTAAGGTATGGTAGTCTGATTCTCTCCTCTCTCTCTTCCCCCTCCCCCACCTGTCTTTTTTGCAGCCTGAGAGTGGGACCACTGGAGCAAGGACAGGAGAGTGGAGTCCACCCTCTCACTCACCTCCTCCTCTCTCCTCCTCTCTCCCTTTTCCCTTCCCTCCCAGCAGCACCCTGCCTGGACCACAGAGGAGTCTCTCCCCCCACTAATCCCCCCTTCTCTCTCCACTTCCCAGCAGCCTCAGCATCATGGCGCTCTGCACGGCAAGTACAGGTAAGGAGGTAAGTACAGGTAAGGAGGCATGGGGGTGAAGTGTGGGGTGGGCGGGTGGGGAGCATGGGAGAAAGCGGGGAGTTCACTGCCTTGGGGGCAGCATCTCCTGGGGTTGTGTCTTGTCGTGGTGGGGTGTGGAGGGTGGAATCTCCGCGGCACGGCACTCGGTGCTCAGGTTCGCAATCTGGCGTTTAAGGCTTAATGGACACCGTCAGAGCCGACCGGCCGGCGGCTCTGGTTCGCGTCAGCTCTAGCTACGTCAGGGGTGGGATTTGAGTCTTGGGCTGGAAGCGATTTTTTACTGCCACACCTCGCCCGACAAGGCACCGCCTCTGGGGGTGCTGTTTCCTTAAGCAAGTGGGCTTTCTGCTGCTCCTACTGCTGGTAGGTGAGTGTGGGGATGGGCTGGGTGGGTGGGTGAGAGAGAAAGGGGCCTGAATCCCCTTGGGTGGTGAGTGGGGCCTGAGTGATCCTGAGCGGGGCTTTCTGCTGCTCCTACTGCTGGCAGGTAAAGGTGGGGATGGGCTGGGTGGGTGGGTGAGAGAGAAGGAGCCTGAAGCCCCTTGAGCGGGGTGGGTGAGAGGGAAGGGGCCTGAATCCCCTTGGGCTGGGTGGGTGATAGGGAAGGGGACTGAATCCCCTTGGGTTCGGTAGGTGAGAGGTTATGGGGGTTGGGTGGGCGAGAAGGAAGGGGACTGAATCCCCTTAAATGGGATGGGTGAGAAGGAAGGGGTGAATCCCCTTGGGTGGGATGGGTGAGAAGGAAGGGGTGTTGGGATGGGTGAGTAGGAAGGGTTTCAATACCCTAAGGTGGGTTGAGTAAGAGTGTGGGATGGGGTCTGATTTCTCTGTGGTGGGTGAGTGGAAGAGAGGAGGGATGGGGGCTGAGTGAAGGGTGGGGTAATTGCTGGGTCGGCGTTTGTGGCTGTGTAAACGGCTGAATGAAGGGCTGATTTGCCTATGGTGGCTCGAGGCTGGGTGCTAGCCGGATGGTGCTGTTGGTGGGTGTGTGGGGTGCGTTGGGTGGGCGGTGTCTGATGGAGTGGTGAGTGGGTGGTGAGGTAGTTGAGTGGGTGGTTGGTGGTTGGGTACTGGATGTGGTTGGATGTGGGTAGGTGGTCAGGTTGTTAGGTGTGGGTGGGTGGTGTGTTGTGGATGGGTGGTGTGTTGTGGGTGGGTGGTGTGTTGTTCTGGATGGGTGGTGTGTTCTGGATGGGTGGTGTGTTGTTCTGGATGGGTGGTGTGTTGTTCTGGATGGGTGGTGTGTTGTTCTAAATGGGTGGTGTGTTCTGAATGGGTGGTGTGTTGTTCTGGATGGGTGGTGTGTTGTTCTGGATGGGTGGTGTGTTCTGGATGGGTGGTGTGTTGTTCTGGATGGGTGGTGTGTTCTGGATGGGTGGTGTGTTGTTCTAAATGGGTGGTGTGTTCTGGATGGGTGGTGTGTTGTTCTGGATGGGTGGTGTGTTGTTCTGGATGGGTGGTGTGTTGTTCTGGATGGGTGGTGTGTTCTGGATGGGTGGTGTGTTCTGGATGGGTGGTGTGTTCTGGATGGGTGGTGTGTTCTGGATGGGTGGTGTGATCTGGATGGTTGCTGGGTGCTTATGGGTGAGTGTTACGTCTGTGGGATTGGGTGCTTGTGGTTGGGAGGAGAGGGGGGGAGAGGATGGGTATGGGTGGGTGCAGAGTTGTAGACTGGTGGTAGGTGTGGTCTGTTGGGGGTTGGTGGGTGGTTGGGTGGATGGGGGTGGGTGGTTGGATTTGTGGTTGGGTGGTTAGTGGTTGGGTATGTGAGGATGGATGTGCATGGGTGCTTGTGGGTGGGTAGTGGTTGTGGGAGGAAGGACAGGGAAACCCCCCTCCACTGACTTGGGTACACCCGGGCCAGTCTGTTGGTGACTGTCTGAGAAACCAAATCTGAGGGATTGGCTTGCAGGTCTTATCATCAGATGCTTGCATGTGTGCTGCTGCATATGTGCATGTGTGCATGTGTGTGTGCATGTGTGCATGTGTGCATGTGTGTGTGCATGTGTGCATGTGTGCATGTGTGCGTGTGTGTGCATATGTGCATGTGTGCATATGTGCATGTGTGCATATGTGCATGTGTGCATATGTGTATGTGTGCATGTGTGTGAGCGCATGCACAGGTCTCATGCTGCCAGCCTCCAGTCATCTGTGCGCTGTGATAAGGCGATCCTTCGACCATCAAACACGGAACAATATACCGTAATCAATTATTACCTGACAAAGGCGTTTGCAGCGGGAGTCATGCATCTAACGCGATGTATCGAGTCGAGCCGTAATAATAGCCAAAACTTGGCATAGCTGTAATGAAATATGTCTTGTGCAATACTATTTTTCTTAGTACATTGCCTTCATTAAGACGAGAGCAATACAGTGAACAATGATATACATCTACAGTGTCCTTTCAGCTTGCTTCTCATTCCAAGTGTCTTGCAAGCCCTTATATTGCACCCTACTTATGGTGCTTTTTCTTCACATTGATGAAAGCCCGCAAGCCTGCAAGAATTGGATGCAGTCTATGGTGCGCCTTCCACCGCAGCCAATTGAGTTGGACCAATGTGTTAAGAAGGTAGGGACTAGGAACTTAGAGAGCTAGGAACTTAGGGTTTGGATGGAGAGAAGTTTGGCCAAAGGAAGGGGTTGGACTAGTGAGAGAGATACATGATATAGGGTTAGGGAAGGTGGTCAGGAGGGGTATACCACCAACAAGAGAATACATACTACACTAACTAAGCTAATATGCAGTTATACATAGAAATACAATTTCTGACACAATGCATGTTGTCCATTTTTGCAGCACTTGGGGTGGGAGTCTGCCCGGCTTGTTGTATCGTACTGTTTTACCAAAACAGTGCGTGCTGAGAGCATACACTGCGATAAAGTACATTAATCTACATGACAGCATATCGAGCAGTTGAAGTTAATACTGATAAACCTACCACAACCTAGCAATCAGCATTGTTTGTCGGATAGCAAGCAAGGCAGCTAGCTCGCTAGGGCAGCAGCATCCCGCCTTCCAGGTCCCTCAATCGCATCCAGCAGTCCAGAAGGCCTCGCTTGCACCTCCGCACAGCCACCCAACCACGCTCACTTGGGCAGCACCCCTCCTTCCAGCTCCCGCAGCCGCATCTCAGTCTCTCCACACCCAGGCATGCAGTTGTTGCATTGACTAAGCAGGTCACTTGGGCAGCACCCCTCCTTCCAGCTCCCTAAGCCGCATCTCACTCTCAACGTCCAGCACAGTCAAGAGGGCTTCTCTTACACCTGCTGCTTCAGATTCACCCAGGCATGCAGTCGTTGCGTTCACTAGAAAGGCAGGTTGCTTGAGCAGAACCCCTCCTTCCAGCTCACTTGGGCAGAACCCCTCCTTCCAGCAGCTACTTCAGATTTACCCAGGCAGATGTTGCATTGACCAGGCAGGAGGTCACTTGGGCAGCACCCCTCCTTCCAGCTCCCTCAGCCGCATCTCACTCTCAACGTCCAGCACAGTCAGGCAGTCCAGAAGCTTCCTCGTCTCTTCCTGCAGAGACCAACACAAAGGGATTACAAGCACAGCACAAGGGGAGGGCCAGGGGAGGCAGTGCGGATTGCAGCAGATTGCAGTATGTGTAAACCTGTATGTCATGTGTAAACGGACGACTTTTTGAGTCGACTCAAAAGTCACCTCATGTGTGAACGGACTATGTATCTCTCCACACATCGCCCCTCTCTCTTATCTCTGTCCCCCTTTCTCCTTTTTGACGTCTCTCACACCCCTCTCACCTGTATGTCATCTGTAAATGGACTATGCATCTCTCCATACATCACTCCCCTCCCCTCTCACCTGACGTGCGCGCTTCATCTGGTCATTCGGGGTCAGCTGCCTGGGCAAGCGAAACGCACTCCCACCACTCCCACTGCCACTCGCAGCCACAGCAGCATGGGGCGAGCCTAAGGGCGAACCCCCCGCGCTAGCAGAGCTGGCTCTAGAGGAGCTCTTCACCCGCTGCAGCTCCTTGGTTGGCGTCACAAACACTGATAAAGGCGGCAGCGGCGAAGGCACACTGAGAAACGAGGCTTCCCCGTCAGCTGCTTCTGCTGCAGCAGATGCAGCTGCTGCATCATGCGCCTCGAGAGGGTCTATCTGTGCTTCAAACTCGCGCCACACCTCGTCCAGGTCTCCCGATTCACCTCCGCTCGACTCCATCCTTGGCACCCTCTCTTCCCCCCCCAACTCCTTCTGCTCTTCCGCACGCCCATGCATGGCTGGATTCTCATGCAACCCTCCCGCTCCTGCATCCCCACCCGCATCCCCATTCACCTTCGCATCCAGAAGCCCTGCATCCACCCCACTCTCCTCCTTCTCTTCCTCACCCTCCTCTTCCCTCTTCTCCTCTCCTTTCTCCTCTCCCTTCTCCTCACCTTTCTCCTCCCCCTCCCTCTCTCCCGTCTCCCCACCTTCCTTGTTTTTCTCCCCTTCCACCTGAGCCTCTCCATCATCCCCTTTCTTCTCCTCATCGTCACACTCGTCCACGGATTCCTCCTCTACCCTTCTCTGCCCCTCCATCCTCCCCTCCCGCTCCTCCTTTTCGCCCTCCCCCATCCCCCCCTCCTCCATCTCCCCTCCATTCACAACCATGCGCCCCTCCTCTCTCTCGCCTGCCACATCATCCCTCCTCTCCTTACTCCCCTCACCTTCCTCATCCGCCCCCCTCTCCTCCTCTTCTGACTTAACCACCCTCTCTTCCTCCTCCCGTCCCTTCTCCTCTTCCTCTCCTTCCTCCTTCGGACCTCCATTCTCAACCTCTGCAGCAATGCATGCCTCTCCCCCATCCTCACTGCACGCCTTATCCCCGTTCTCAGCACAAGCTGGCCCATCCTCTTGATACCCCAACGCCTCTTCTTCCACCAGCTCACGTCTGTCACTCTCCTCCTTTAAATTCTCATTCCCTTCAGTACTACCTGCAACCCCCACGTCCGTACCACTCACGTCCTCCTTATCTGATAAAGTACAAGATTGTTTGTCCTGTTCACCATCGCCCACCCTTTCAACCTGCGAAAAGCCATACTCCCTGTTGGCCTCTTCAAGCCTCTCGTCCTGCCCACCACATTCCACCTTCTCACCCCCTCCTCCTCCCTCCTCGTCGCCCCCTCCCTCCTCCCCCTTCCCTCCCTCCCCTGTCCCCAAATCTCCGCCCCCCCCTCCGTCTCCCAGCCCCTCTCTGTCACCCTCCCCACTCCCTACTCCCGTCCGTCCCCCTCCCATCTCTCCTCCCCCCATCTCCCTTTCCCCCATCACCTCTCCTCCCATATCTCCCCCATCCATCCTCCCTCCAACCACCTCCCCTTGTCCTATCTCCCCTCCCCCCAATATATAATCCGCCATTCCCTCTTCCCCCAGCAACTGCGCCCAGTCCACATCAACCCCACCCACTCCTCCCCCCACTCCTATCCCCTCAACCCCTCCCATTTCTCCACCCTCTACCCATCCCACCCCCACTCCCTCACCCCCTTCCTCCTCCCCACCCATCACAGCCATGCCAGCCTCCCACAACACCCCCAACTGCCTTCTGCACCGCTCTAACTCCCCTTCCAACCACTCCACCTCCTCCTGCTGCCGCTGCATGATCTGCCTCAGCACCTCCACCCTCTCCTCATCATAAACCGCCTTCTCTTCTAAAATCCTCTCTCTCTGCCGGGCGGCCAGATGGGCGGCAGCTTTGTCTTCTTGCAGCCGGCGAATCAGCTCCATGCTAGCCTGGGCAGCACTGTCAGCCGCTGCCCGCTCCTGGTCTAACTCCCTTCTAAGCGAATCTACTAGCTCCATTTCATGCTCCAACGCCCGGCGCAGCACAGCCAAATCATCCTCATCCTCAAACTCATCCCTTTCCTCCTCCTCCTCCTCCTCCTCCTCCTCGTCCTCCGCTTCCCTCTCTCCTCCCTCCTCTCCCTCCCCTTCCATATCCCCGTTGCTCCTTCTCCCCCTGTGGCCTCTGCGATTCTCCGCGGCCTGCTGCTGCAGCTGCCGCCTCAGCTGCCGCTGATGCTGCTTGAGAATCTTGAGAAACTTTGCCCGATCAATCACCTCCTCTTCCTTCTCCTCCCCCTCGCCGCCCTTGCCCTTCTCCCTCTCATCCTTTGCCTCATGACGCAACCCCTGCTCCGCCTGCCCCACTTGCCCCGCCTGCCCCTCCTGCCCCTCCTGCCCCTCCTCCCCCATCTTCTCCTCCTCCTCCTGCTCTTGCTGCGGCTCTGGCATCTCATCTTCAGTCGATGCCAGAAACTGCAGTTCCCGCCTATGACCCCCCTCGTCCTCTTCCCCGTCCTCCTGTTCCTCCTCCGCCTTGCTACCTCTCCTCTCCACGCCCCCGTCCCCATCACCTGCCACACTCTCAGCAATACCACCACCACCACCACCACCACCACCACCACCACCACCACCTGCTGTTGCTGCCTCCAAAGTCGACTGGGCTGTAACTTCTGCCTTGTCGCGTCCGCTTTCTGCCTCCCCAACTTCTCCCTCTCGCCCCTTAGTATTCTCAGGAGAACCAACGCACGACGTCTCACCTTCGCCCTCCCTGCTCCCAGAGGCCGTTTCCCTTTCCACACTCGACCTGGCTCCCCTCTGCTCCCCCTTCTCCTCCTCCCCTTCCTCCTTTACTGAACTCATCTGTCTCACCATTCTCCTCCTCTCCTCCTCTCCATTTTCCTGTTCACCCACCTCCTCCGCCTCCTTCTCCTCCTCCTCTTCCTCCCCCTCCACCCGCTCTCCCTGCCCTCGTCTCCCCCCCCTATGTCTCTCCATGAATCCAGACAGAAGACTGAAGAGAGATGCCTCAGTCATGTGTCTGTATGACCGCCGTCCAGCCACCCTCAACCTCACGCCCCTATCGCCCTTCAAACCGCCACCTGCGCCACCACCACTGCCACCACCACCACTGCCAGCAGCACCAGCTGCACCGGCAGTACCAGCAGTGCCAGCAGCAGCAGCGCCGGGCGATATAAGCTCTGGCCCACCCATCCATTGACCTCGCCTCCCTGATCCCTTCCCAGGCGTTCGCCCAGGTGTTCTGCCAGGTGTCCTGCCAGGTACCCTGCGTCGTTCTAGTGGCAGGTGGAGGGTTGGAAGGACAAGGCCACGCCGAGCACTCATACCCTCTATAGCACCGTCCGTTACAGTCACAGATTCCGCGGTTTCTGCCAGACATTCTTTCGCTTCAGTCACACTTTCTGCAGTGTCACCCAGCTTTCCTGATTCATCTCCTTCCTCTATAATCACGCTCTCCTGTGTACCAGCTCCGTCCCCTTCGGCAGTTGTGCCTTCCCCTGGCACACCTCCCCCCATTCTAATCACACTTCCATTAGTTCCTTTCGCTACAATCACATCCGCCTCAGCACCGTCAGAGGCGGTCTGCTGTTGAGCCCACTGGGCTTCTTTGTCCGCATCTGCCTGGTCACTGCCCTGTACGTCTCCAGAAACGCTCTCCTGCGTTTCTGCAAGCGGGTAATGACCAGATAACCTCCCTGCCGCTCCCTCCTTTTGCCTAATCCCCTCTGCCCTCTCCCCCCTGCCTCTCCTCCACTCCCCTTCCATCTTCCCCATCTCCTTCCCCCACGCAGTCAGAAGCGCACTTACCAACTCTTCCCTCCTCTCCGCCCTCCTCTCCTCCTCGTCTCTCCTCAAATGCTCCACCAGTTTCTTTGCCAACACCTCATATCCCTCCTCTTGAGTCGACTCAAAAGCCAAATCCCCTCTCCTCGCTGCCCTCCTCTCCTCCTCGTCTCTCCTCAAATGCTCCACCACTGTCTTTGCCAACCCCTCATACTCCTGCTCCCTCTCCTCCCTCTCCTCCCTCTCCTCCCTCTCCTCCCTCTCCTCCCTCTCCTCCCTCTCCTCCCTCTCCTCCCTCTCCTCCCTCTCCTCCCTCTCCTCCTCTCTCTCCCTCTCCCTCTCCCTCTCGCTCCCCCTCTCCCGCTCCTTCTCCCTCTCCCTCTCCCCTTCTCTCTCCTTCGCCTGCTCTCTCTCCTTCGCCTGCTCTCTCTCCTCCAACACCTGCTGCGCCAACTCCCGCCCGAGTTCTCTCAGTTCATTCACCTTCGTTACAGTCACCACCTGCTCCACTCGTTGGAGCCACGCCTCTCTCTCCCTCCCCCACTCCTGCATTACCCGTTGCACCAAATCCTCTTGCTCCTGCCTCTGCTTCTCCTCCTTTACCTCCTCTTCCTGCTGTTGCTCCTGTTGATGCTGCTGCTCCTCCTTCGCCTCCTCTTCCTTCTGCTGCTGCTCCTGTTCCTCTTCCTGCTCCTTCCCCCCCTCCTCTTGTGTTTCCTGCTGCTCCTGCTCCTGCTCATGCTCCGGCTGCTTCTGATGCTCCCGCTGCTGCAGCGTTAGCTCTTCCTGCTTGCTCTGCGTCAGCAACGCCGATAGTCTCTCAACAAGTTCACCCACCAACGCTGCCCTCTCTTCCGCCCTCTCTTGCTTCCTCTCTTGTTTCATCCTCTCTTCCTCCATTCTTCGCTCCGCTTCCTCCTTCTCCCTTGCCAATTCCGCTCTACTATTACTCTCCTCCCATCCGTCACCTCTTCCACCCTCGTCCTCCTCTCCCTTTCCACTCGCCTCCTCCTGTTTGCTGTCTCCTTCTACCATCGTCTTATTCTCCGTACTCTCGCTTCTCCCCCTCATCTCCCCATTCTCATTCCTCCCTTCAACCACGCCGGATACGACCTCCACCAGTTCCTCCCGCATCTTTACCACTTCTGCTGAAACCACCTGAAGCACCTCCGCTGAAAGCACCTGGAGAAACTCCCGCCCGTCAGAGGCCTTCCCATGTTCGCTGCTGCAGCACGGCCTGACGTCACCTGCCGTGTTGTTGATTGGGATTTCCAGACTGAATGTGACGTCATCACCGTTTTTAGCGATCACGGTGACGTCATCAGCGGTAGTTGTTCTTATCGCGTCCACGGGCTTATCTTGAGGCGGTTCAGCGGGCAAAGAAGACACCTTCGCGGAATTTTCTGCTCTCATGTGCTCCCCTTGTCTGTCACTCGCGCGAGGATCGGAAAGTTTGCGGTCAAATGACACGTGGCGGAATGACAGCCTTGCCACGTGTAACAGCCAGATCGCAACGGTGCCGCAAGCAGCGCGAGCGAGGAGGAGAGCCGCGAAGAGGAGCTGGATAAACTCGTCGACGACTGAAGGGGAGGAGGACCGGTCCCATGGCGACGAGTAAAACGCGATTCGAACGGCTGGCAGATTGACGACATTGGCGACATTGGCGACATTGGCAGCGGTGACAGCGTTGAGTTGATGCATTGATAGGATTCACGGTCTGCGACAATTCGTCTGCGACAAATCCGCCTGCGACAATCCGTCTGCGACGAGCTGTATTCCTCAGCCCTACTGGGAGAACACAGAGATAAGGCCAACAGCAACGTGCAACTTGCTCTTGACGAGATTTCTACGTCAAAGTCGGTCACGCGCTACCCCGTGAATCGCAGCCGTCGCGCGCTTCCATTGTTCGACCGACAAGCACGGACGATGATGCAGCAGGAGAAGCCAAGCACCAAAAGATCAGAAAGGAGCGGGAGGAAGGAGGGCAGGAATGAGAGAATGCGAGATAGAGAGCGAGGAGTGAGTGACTGTGGTGCCTACTGGACCGCACTGAGATAACATGGATGTCAAGAAAAGTGGGAGGAACAGTACGAGTGAGGAGAATGAGTCGAACAGAAGCACCGCACCAAACCGTAGCGTTTGCTTCTACCGTGATTCCCGCCAGTTTTGTTTTCCGTTGGTGTGAACTGTACAGCTGTGACGTTTTCGTGAACCGTGTTACAGCCTGCACGAAGGGGGACGAATGTGGGCGACGTTGGAGTCTGGGTTCCACAACCGACAGCTTCGCTTCATGGGTTTCGTGGGGCTGATACGACTGGCTGACGCTACTTGCTACCATATCCGTACGAACATCGTGGAGGCACTGCGAGAGACGTGCGACGACTCGTCATGAACGTCACGATGCCTCTCATTGGACGACTCACACGTGACATGCGACATTCACGATGGAATTGGAAATCTCACGTGGTCGCACGACAATTGAAACGAGGGTGCTGAAGACATGGGGGGTAAATCTTCGTGTAGGGTGACTCGACAAGATTGCAGTGACATATGTCATCTATGGATGTTGCATACAAAAGCTTTTATTCTCAACTTTACAGTACAAGGTCTCAAAGAAGGGACTCCTTCAATTCCCTTCCATATTATCTTGAGCTACCATCAGGAGACGTGGGATTAACTGAAGGTTTCTCCACGACTTCAACAATGACTACCTGTAACAACAAACAAATGAGGCTTAAAACAAGCATACCAGCATCGAAACAAAAACGCATGCTGTCCATCCCTATGCAAGATCCCTGAACGTAAAAGGCTCACCTCTTCTTTGCGTGCTCCCGCTTCTTCCCTCTTTTCATCTGGCGGCAAGACAACAGCCTCCACAACTGGTACTTGCGCCGCAGGTGCAGCTGGTTTCACCCCTTGCTCAGCAGCGGCTTTGGCTGCACGCCTTGCCTTCTCCTCCTCCTTCCGCTTCCGGAACCTGTAAATCAGATCCATCAAGACGGCGAAGCAATGAGGCGCATGCGGGAAAACAGGAAGAAGAGAAGGAACAGGGAAGACAGGGTTGAAAAGGAGGGGGATGGAAGTGGGGACATGAGAAGCAGGGGACATGATTGAAATAGGCATCTGGACTCCCCCCCCTGCATACCTCATCGCAGCTCTGTGTGTGTCCCTTCCTCAACCACCTAAATTGCAAGCTCCTTCTCCGTGACATCTCAACACCACTGCTGCTGCAGCCATTCCCCTTCTCGACCCCGAAACCCAATCAAAGCGCAACAAAAAGCAACAGCAAGTAACAACCCAGTAACCTAATACATACAACTACCTCATACATACATGCAGCTACTCGAAACATCTTCCTCACCTCTCTGCCCGTTCCCTCTCCTTGTCATCCACACTAACTGCAGCAGCTGCTCCCCCATCACCTTCCACCGAGGTGACTATTGAGTCGACTCAAACGCCACCTCAGACATTTCCTCACCTCTCCGCCCGTTCCCTCTCCTTGTCATCCACATTGACTGCGGCACCCGCTCCCCCATCATCCCCCACCGCCTTCCCCGCCCGCTTTGCCGCCTCTGCCTCCTTGCGTTTCCGGAACCTGCAACACGCAGCAGAAGAAGAAACAAATTGCTACTGGTTCCACTCATGGCACTGCCTCACACTTCCTATAAATTAAATGAGATGAGTTTTGAGACGCGTCAGAACCTGCAGCAGGCAGCAGAAGAAACGAATCGCCATTCCACCGCACTGCCTCGCCCCACTCCACCTCTGTTCCCCACAGCATTTCCACCTCTGCCTCTTCATTCACCTTGCATGTTGGTCATGGGACTTCTCATTTGAGTCATGTTTTGAGTCGACTTAGAACGTGACCATGGGACTTGTCAAAATTGATCCCCTAGGTCTCATCTCACCTTTCAGCCCGGGCCCTCTCTTTCTCCTCCTCCTCCCTACTGAACCCCTTGAAAGCAGTCCCAGCAGGCGGCGACGCCACTGCTGGTGCCGCCACAGCAGGTGCAGCAGACGCAGCGGTGCTGAGCGGTGCAGAGGGTTCCACGAGCCCCACATCGATGACCCCATCCGCCCCCATCGCCCCTGCTGCTACTGGATTCGTGGCTCCTCCCATCTTGCGCAGGTAGACCGTCTGTGCTGTGCTCAGCACGTTGTTCACAAACCTGGAGGCATGGAGGACAGTGGGGGGTTGCGGAGGGGAGTAAGGGGCTTTAGCTTGAGAACAGCACCGGGGCCGTGGCTCCTCCCATCTTGCGCAGGTAGACCGTCTGTGCTGTGCTCAGCACGTTGTTCACAAACCTGGAAGTGTAGAGGATAACGGGGGTTGGGGGAAAGAGGACAACAGGGGTTGGGGAGGGAGGGTTTGAGCTTGAGAGCAGCACTGGGGGCGTGGCTCCTCCCATCTTGCGCAGGTAGACCGTCTGTCCTGTGCTCAGCACATTGTTCACAAACCTGAGAATAGGGAGAGGAGAGTGAAGGGGAGAGGCAGGCGAGTGAGAGGCACCAGAAACGGCACCAGGGGCGTGGCCCCTTCCATTTAGCGGCGATACACTCGCTGAGAGGGTATGTACAAACACAGAGTTTTGAAAACTCATGGTGCTGAATTGAATTCCCATAGGCTGAGTGGGATTCACCAGCACCCACCCAGCAGTATCCCCAATAGGACGTGGATCAGGTCACCCCAACCCACCAGTAGAGGGAGAGGCCAGAGGGCACAGTGAGCGAGAACCAGCCGATCATGAGCGGCAGGAACTTGAGAATCGCCTGGCTCTGCTGCGTTGCCGGGTCCTGGTGGATGAGAGCCAGGCAGTAGGAGGCGGGTTGTGGGAACGGGGAGGAGCGGGAGAGGGGAAAGGAGGGTGGATTTCTGAGTTGTCAAGAGACAAGATAGTGTGTTGGAGGGTGAAGAGAGGTGAGGAGAATGCAAGTTTGAGCAGTACTGGCAGCACTGGCAACTTTGAGCAGCAGCACCGGCAGCATTGGTGGCACTCGCAGCAAGGGTGGCGACACTTACATCTGTCTGCGGAGGCTGCATAATCTGCATGGAGAGAGCCTGTGACGCCACCAGCAGCACTGGCAGCACGAGGTACGCTGCTGTGGCCTCCCAACCCAGCGGAGGGGCGCCGTCCTGCAACGTAGATTGGGAGTGAGGGAGGGACAATCGAAAAGGGGAAGAGTGAGAAAAGGGCAGAGAACTACAGGGGCAGAGGGGGGAGGCAGCAGAAGCAGGAAGGACGCTATTGTTGAAACACAAACAAGCACGCACCATTTACAATGACCATTGAAGTGAAGTGATGTCCCGAAGCGGCAGCATGTGCTTACAATGAAGGGGAAGAGCGGCAGCATGTGCTTACAATGAAGGGGAAGAGCGGCAGCATGTGCTTACAATGAAGGGGAAGAGCGGCAGCATGTGCTTACAACGAAGGGGAAGAGCCAGGAGATGCCAGAGCCTTCGACAGTGGGATCGATAGAAGTGGGGCCGGCGAGAGATGGGATCCAGAAGAATCCCTCCGTCAGCACGCCCTGTCAATGGGGTGGTGGGATGGGGTGATGGGATGGGGCAGGGGACACGTGTTAGGGCAGGGGACACGTGTTAGGGGAGGGGATGAGGTGGTGGGGGGAGAGGTGGATGGACGTGAGGCCGGCAAGAGATGGGATCCAGAAGAAACCCTCCGTCAGCACGCCCTGTTGATGGATGGAATGGGGCGATGGGATGGGGCAAGGAGCATGTGTAAGCGCAGTGCAGGGGATGACGTGGTGGGGAGCGAGACACGTGTGGACGTGGGCCCGGCGAGAGGCGGGATCCAGAAGAAACCCTCCGTCAGCATGCCCTGTTGGGATGGGGTGATGGGATTGGGCAGGGTAGGGAGCGTGTAGGGTAGGGAGGAAATGAGGTAGCAGGGAGCGAGAGTTGTGTAAAATACAGATGTGGAGGAGGGGTAAAGGGGGAGGGGAGAGGGGGGAGGGGGATAGGGGGGATTTCGGGATGTGGGAGATAAAAAGATGAATTCTACTTACCTCTTTAGCGACGTTACTGAGAGCCTGGTAGAGGCCGATGAAGATAGGAAGAGTGGCAAGCGTAGGGAGGCAGCCTGTGATGCGGATGGGGATGGAGATGGGGATGTGGATGGGGGATGGGGATGCAAAAAGGAATGAGGATGGGAGCGGGGATGGGAACAGGATGAGATTGGGCATGAGGGGATGGGCATAAAAGATTGATGTGCTATTGCTTTCTTTACCTTTTCCTTCTTCCTAACTACTTATGTCGTTCAAGACTCGACCGGAAGGACATTCAGCAAAAAGCATTGAGTATTCTGTATGTTCGAGTTACGTTGCTCGTTTTTTATGGGAACAATCAGAACTTAACTCATGGCCAGGTAGGAAAAAGCATCGCCTCAACAGCGAGAGGGTTGACTCCCGCGCGTTGGTAAACTTTCGCCGTTTCCATCTGGATGCGCTCCTGGGCGCCCGCGTACTGCGCCTGGGTCGCCTTCAGCTGCGGCGCCAGGCTCTGCACTCGCTACTCCGTGAATCCCTACTGGCAGTGCCAGGGACGACCGTCCACGGTGCCACAGTGCCACTTCCCATCCTGCCCTGCCCGTGTGCTCCCTACTTGCCCAGCCCCAACCTCCCTGCTTTTCAGTCTGGTAGCGCGTAACCGTGGATTTTTTTCTCACCTGCGAGGGGGTTGACGCCCGCGCGTTGGTACACCTTGGCCGTCTCCATCTGAATGCGCTCCTGGTCGCCCGCGTACTGCGCTTGGATGGCCTTCAGCTGCGGCGCCAGGCTCTGCATGGCGAGCGTCGACTCCACCTGCTTCTTCGTCAGCGGGAATGTTACCACCTTGACGATGATCGTGAGCAGGATGATAGAGAAGCCGTACGCGTAGGGCATCTTGAGAGCCACTAGGCCCTCCTCTAAGACCTGCCAGGCGCGCATGTTACAAGGGGAAGGGAGGCAACATGGAAAGTTTCACTATTGGAAAAAACGACAGCACCGTGACGATGATCGTCAGCAGGATGATTGAGAAGCCGTATGCTCTTCTCTGAGACCAGCCATGCGTGCGTGACGGGAGCGGAAGAGGAGCATGATAAGATTCTGCGTGAGGATGATGATGGAGAAGCCGTATGCGTACCGCACCTTTTAAAATACTAAACCCTCCTATACGGCCTCGGCAAATTGGCAGGATGAGGATTGAGGATGAAGTGACTACCTGACAGTGCAGATTACTCGCACGTATACCACATTTACCCTATATACGCTGTAGGGAAATTGCTCTGTCTATTGCGCGGATACGCCATTGTCGCACCTTGAGAAATGCTTCCAGAAGATCAGCAAGGCCTGAAAACCAGCCGCGATCCTGCACCACCTCAGCAGCAGCTGGTGCCACGTCAGCAGCAGCGTCCGCAACCGCGAATAGCAGATTGTGTGCGGCGATCGATCCGGCGGAAATCACGGCATCAAGACCGGACGGGTCCAGGACCGCTCTAGTGACAATGCTTCTGGATCGCTTCGCGTGCTTCTGTGACTGTAACGGGCGTAATTGTCGTAAGGGAAGCCCAAGACCACGACAGCAGCTTTGCAGTCTAAGCCCAGATGCTGACGTGGCTAACGTGGCCCTGGGTACTGTCGAAACTGCCATCGGTGCAGGATGCAGCAGGACCCGATCCATGGCGCCGAAAATCGACGAGCGACGAGAAGTGCAGCCAACGCCGAGTCGATCGGGCACAGGGATCGAGATTTAGAGACCTAGTGCAGTGCCGCAGATATGCCAGCAGCACTCGGGCTGCCCTGCTCAACGTTCACCCTGAAATGGAATATTGGTGAAGGAACCGCATCAGCGCCTTCACCCCAACCCACCTCTCGGCTCAGCTCAGCTCAGCAAGGAATCTGGGAGGCATCTGGTAACTTCTGGGGAAGAAGAGCTGGCTGGAGTTGGCATGGCAGGCAAGTGCCTGTAGGGCAAAGATCAAATTGGGGCCGAACATTAGCAGAAAAGTGACCAAATTAGGGCCGGGTTAATCCCAACCGTTGGATATATCCCCGAAGCTGCCCAGGTGGCTGGGCCTTGGTTCCGAACCGAAAATTTCAGGAAATTACTAAATCTTGACTGTTTTGGTTCATTTCTTTGTTTTATATTAAAGCCCGGGGTCAGCATGGTAAATTTCCAAGTTATGTGGACTTGAAGGGGGAGGTGAGGGTGTGTGAAACGTATTTCGGTTGTGTGGCTGAGGCGAGAATTATGTTCCTCCACGAGCAATATAGCATTTCGCTCACACCAAACCAGCGATACCCACCGACCCTGTGCGAAAAGTGAGTCGCATAAATAGACACTCTATCCAATCAGAAGCATTCACACTCTTACGAAGAACACAGGAAGCGTGGATGCAGCAGAACCAATCAGGTTCGTGCGAGGAGATCGGGGCAACCTAGTGAGCGATGGTCGGATCCGTTGTGCGACTGGGCTCACGAACCAATCAGGTTCGGCCGTCGCAAGAGTTTTCCCCTGCCTCGCGAGTTGTGTTTCAAGCCAGAGGGGGTAACCCCGTTTTTGGCGACTTCAAGTTCAAGAATCTTGAACTTGAAAAATACCATGCTGTACCCGGGTTCTAAGATCGCCGCCTATTACGGAAGCTCGCATCGAATTCCTCTGGGGGTGCTTTCGCCTTGTATGTAATTTTTTAGATTATTAGTACATGATTGTTTTCCGAAAATTTTACATCACTTTACCTGGATAAAAAAAATATCCCAATCGGAAATGGATGCGACTCGGGGAGGCATCAACCCTAAACTTTGGGGAGGTTCCCGTGTTTAGGGTTGATCCCTCCCGAAGATGAATCCAGGTTCCCTAGGGGTTTTATTTTTTCTGCCCTGCCCTAACGGTTCCTTGTTGCGTCGACTAGTACGCGGTAGCGCAAAATACTGAGTTATTTCGACAAAAGTCGTAAAATTTACTCTCCGTCAGTTACGACGCGCGGTGCGGTGAGAATCTCTGACAAGTGAAATCACATACGCGAGCATGGAGAACTCCGTTGTTAGCTCGAAAAAAATCAGGTTCGGCTATCCGGCCCTAATTTGGACACTTCTCTGCTAATGTTCGGCCCCAATATGATCTTCTCCCGTGCCTGTATCGCTTTTGACGTCAGCGTCTTCTGGTTGAGTGACACATCGGTATGCCAGATATGGGACCTGAGGATTGCGACACCTGGCCATCCTGCGTATAAGCTACTCGGTTACTGTCACAGAAAGATACATCCTGCAATTGTGACAGTGTTCTTCATACTCTGCTTGCTCGACTTGTAGGCAAGTCACGTATCTATGGTTGTAGTTTGGCCATCGCAAACTTGGCGATCTACGATGAAGCCACGTGCACGTCCGGCTCCAGCGCTGGTTGGAAGGCTTGATACCTGATTTGTGGGAGACAGTTTCCCGATTGGCTGTTAAAATCAGTGAAACTCGCCAGACTCGGAACTTTTTCTGCGCAACCATCCAGCTGAACTGCTTACGAGTGACTTGTGCGTGAAGCAAGCGAAGTGATTTCTCTAATAGGAGATATTCACGACATCGCAAAAAAAAATCGTTAACAGTTAGCTGGCAGTTTCTGCTGTTTGTCATCGTGCAAGGATGTATCTTTTCGGTGTACGACGTTTCTAGGGTCGTCCAGATTCATCCAATAGCAAATTCGCGGGGATTCCCAGTCGCAGGCAACCCGTCGCAGCCACGTCAACTCCCGAGGTTGCCCTAAAAATCTCCGTTTCCCAGGGAGTTCACGAGAAAGTTACCAGTTTTTCAACCACCAACAAATATCGTTTTCCTTCGTTGCACTCACACGCGAGCCAGTTCTTGCTCAGCTGAACCAAGTCACTGGGCATCAGCCATTCTTATCAGATTTTCTTCTCCAGTATCATTCTACTTCGCTCTTCTCAAGGCTAGCAAGGTTTCCCTCCGCGGAGAGACCGTCCTAGTCTGACTCCCAAGTCACCTCTCTGTTCAGGGAGCTATTCGTGCTTACCGCGGACAAGGTACTTGCATGTGGTTAAGAATTTCGGGTTCCGTTTCGTGAAGCTGTGTGTGCAGCTGTTTCCCTTATTGACTAAATTCGGACCCCTTTCGCTGTCTTCTGCTCTCAAATTTCAGACCCTTCTTGCGTGTTTCCCAGCGCACCTTCGGAATGGCTGGAGCTATCGCTCAGTCGTCGCTCGTCTCCGCGAGCGTGGTCCTCCATGGCGGTAACAAGGCTAACCGTCGGTCGCGGCGCTCGTCGTCAGCCGTCGCCAGCGTCGCAGCTCCTCGCTCGCTTCAATCCTTCACTGGACTGAGGCGTTTCGGTCAAGCTGACGTGGCACTCAGGGGCTCCCCGTCGTTGGCAGCGATAGTCGCGAAGCAGACTAAAGCCGGCTCGTCTAGCGCCGCCAAACGCGGCGTCGCTGTCGCCATGTTCGAGCGTTTCACAGAGAAGGTATAACTCTGGCCTTCGAGTCCACTTATGCGAGTGTTCCACGGAGAACGTACCACGCACTTGACTTTTAGATGACCGAGTCACCTAGAGGGATTCAGGAATAAGGTGGTATGGACGCACTTTATTACACGCGACGTCGCTTGGCTTCTCAAGTTCCGGACTCGTAATTTGTTTTGTTAGATATTGAGACTCCGACGTATTCTGACGGTTGCTGCTGAGGGTGTCCTATTTCCGTTCGTCAGTCATTAAGCTCGCCAGGTTGAAACGTTCCTATTTCCAATCCCGGTCCTCTCCCGTCGCAGGCTATCAAGGTGATCACGCTCGCGCAGGGGGAGGCGCGTCGCTTGGGACACAACTTCGTCGGCACGGCGCAATCATTGAGTCGACTCAACAATTTTCTTAAACGTTTGTCTTCCCCATCCCTCTCATCCCCCGTCACAGGCTATCAAGGTGATCATGCTCGCGCAGGAGGAAGCCCGTCGTCTGGGCCACAACTTCGTGGGCACGGAGCAGATTCTCCTGGGGCTCATCGGCGAGGGCACGGGCATCGCCGCCAAGGTGCTCAAGTCGCTGGGCGTCAATCTCAAGGAGGCGCGCGTCGAGGTCGAGAAGATCATCGGCCGCGGCTCGGGGTTTGTAGCCGTTGAGATCCCGTTCACGCCGCGCGCGAAGCGCGTGCTGGAGCTGTCGCTGGAGGAGGCGCGGCAGCTGGGGCATAATTACATCGGCACGGAGCATCTGCTGCTGGGCCTGCTCCGCGAGGGCGAGGGCGTGTCCGCGCGCGTGCTGGAGAATCTTGGCGCCGATCCCGGGAACATCCGCTCGCAGGTGAGTAGGAGAGTGTTTCTCGTGTGCGCTTGAAAATAGCTGGAAAAACCAGCGCGTGCTGGAGCTGTCGCTGGAGGAGGCACGGCAGCTGGGGCATAATTACATCGGCACGGAGCATCTGCTGCTGGGCCTGCTCCGCGAGGGCGAGGGCGTGTCTGCGCGCGTGCTTGAGAACCTCGGCGCCGACCCTGGGAACATCCGGTCGCAGGTAAGGAGGAGAGTGTTCGTTTCTTGTGTGCGTTTGCTTGAGAATAGCTGGAAAATCTGCAGTCGCTTCACAGGTGATCCGCATCGTATTCCATCTGAACCACTTTCTGCACCGAAATTGATTGCTGCGATATTAACGAAGTCGGAGATTTCTGGTGGCAGGTGATCCGCATGGTGGGCGAGAGCGCCGAGGCGGTGGGCGCTGGCGTGGGCGGCGGCAGCAGCGGCAACTCCAAGATGCCCACGCTGGAGGAGTACGGCACCAACCTCACCAAGCTCGCTGAGGAGGTGAGTTGAAACGGTCGCACTTAGTGCTTAGGCTTGTGAATATTGAGGGAGCTTGATCCGCATTTAGGCAGCAGCAGCAATTCCAAGATGCCCGCGCTGGAGGAGTACGGCACCAATCTCACCAAGCTCGCCGAGGAGGTGAGTCAATCTGGTCGTTCTTAGTGCCTTGGGTGGTGTATTTTGAGGAAACTTCGAAGCACTCGAAGCAGCAGCAGCATCTCCAAGATGGAGGAGTGGGGCACCAACCTCTTCTCACCACCGGGCTTGCCTAGGGCGACAGTTGAGTGCATGTGCTCATGCTTGTACTGGCTACCAAGACGACGTGAAAGCGAGAGTAGCAAATCACGAGACGCTGACGCTAGTGAGTCATCCAGAGCCCGTCTCCTTTGTTTCCGTTCTTCCCTCCTTCGCATAAATACGGAGAAATTTACAGGCGTATGGACATATCTCTCCCTCCCTCTTCTTCCCTCCCCTCCCTCCTCTTTTTCCCTCCCCTCCCTCGCTCCTCCTCCTGTCGCTTTGCTTCTACAGGGCAAGCTGGACCCGGTGGTGGGGCGTCTGGCTCAAATCGAGCAAGTGACTCAAATCCTGGGTCGCCGCACCAAGAACAACCCTTGCCTCATTGGCGAGCGCACAGCCTGATGCCCTTCTCTCTCTCTTCTTGTTTCCCTACCCCCGCTCCCCGCAGGGCAAGCTGGATCCAGTGGTGGGGCGGCTGGCGCAGATCGAGCGAGTGACGCAGATCCTGGGTCGCCGCACCAAGAACAACCCCTGCCTCATCGGCGAGCCGGGCGTGGGCAAGACCGCTATTGCTGAGGGCCTTGCACAGAGAATCGCTTCTGGAGACGTGCCTGAGACGCTGGAGGGCAAGAAGGTGAGATGCTGCTTGT